ACTACTATCTAAGAACTACTGAAAAAGAAGAACAGAATTACTAAGGTAACTAGAATGTTAACGAAGGAACAAAGTTGTTGAGGAACACTGCAGGGCTCTGTCTCTGTCCAGGGATAATAGAAAAGAAATGGGCAGGACTGGGGGTTGCATGTGCAATACCAGGGCATTGAATGTACGTGGCTTCAGCACTGCGCTTGCGCAGCCCCAATGACACTGCTCTAAAGACTGATGAAAAGTACAGGGGCACACTGACACCTCTTGTGGAGCACCCACAGGGACATCTCTCTCTGGAATAACCTATTTTACATTTCTGAGGTAGCTGTATGGACTAAGGCTCTGATCTTGCAAAGACTTCTACACATGCTTTACTTTACACAAACTGAATAGTCCCACTGACTTCAATAAGGCTATTCACAGTATATTATGAAGAATAAATATAACTACAGAAATAGGGCCTCAAATAAAATTCAAGTTTTCTTACTTCATCCATCGTACTAAAACTTCATCCACAGAATTACAACAAACTATGTATCTGAAAGAACAAAAATGTCAACTTGTTATTTTCACCCTCTCCTAACACATTCCACTACACTATAAACATTTAATAGAGGCCAAAATTAATTACTATTTACCTATATCCACTATGTGAAGTTTTTTTTTTATTGCTAGAAAGTAACTGCTAACTAGTACTTCACCAAAAAGCATAAAGCCACTATTGACAATTATAGATTTACACCGAGATTGACAAAATGTTCCATTTGGATAGTTTTTCGGTTTGTGGTTTGGTTTGGTTTTGGTTTTGTTTTTTTGCAGCTGCACCGGGAGATCTTCCATGAATTCATGTCTAAAAATCAAATCCTGATCATCTTTTTTAACACCACCTGCAGTTTTTAATCAGACTTGATTTCACACTCTCCAACTTCTAGAATTATGGGTAAATTATACCTCAAGTGAAATGTTGACGGCAGTTACAAGGACAATTTCATCCCACTACTTGTACCATTATGTGCATTACTGAGATGCTTGTTCGGAGATTTATGGTTTTGTATGTCAACAAAGGACCAAACTCTGTGTCTTTTACACAAAAGCAAAGCTAATAAAACTTTGTTTTCTTCATAAATCCCTTCTGCATAAAATAGCAGTGTGTCACACTGTTTTAGCAATCCTTTATTGAAGATAACAAGTTGGTTATGTTCACTGTATTGTATGAAACATCACAATATCATACTGGGAAGGTACTGTCAGTACAGGGTTGGACCAGAGCAGACAGTCTGAACAATAAACCATTTTGCATTCTTCATTCCCTATCTTTTAACAACCCCAAAACCCCAGCAAAGGGACAAATATCTGTTAACATTGTCATTTAGAACAATTTAACTTACAAGGCTAAAATCTAATGAATAAATAAAATATATTGTGGCAATAATCCTCTCTAGAACAAAAAAAAACGAAACAAAAAACCTAACAAAAAATTAGATACACAATGCATCAAAATGATTGGGAAAGTTGGCCATAGGCACCAGCAAGTAAGTGTGTGTTTTTACAAGACTCAGCATGGGGATAAAGTTACAGAAAAATAGCATGAATTCCATTTCACACAAAACCAGTTGATGACTGTCATTAGCTTAAATTACACACAAGGGCAATTACATCCTCTCTGAAACACAGTTTAAACAAATAGGAAAATGTTTACAAGGCATCCACAGCATGAAAATCATGTACAGATGGATACATTCATTGTTCCCCCCCCCCCCAATAGCTTTTTTTAGATAAATACTTTACTCTCATTTTTAGCATCTACTGGACTCAATACATGCACAACTCAAAAGAATTCAGGAAAAAAAATCTAGGTTATTGCAAAAATAGAATTAAACTAAGAATCTTCAAGTACCTTACATGACAGCCACTCTGTACCATGCCCATTGCTTATAAAATGAAAGGTCATTGAACCCATGAAAATATCTTTAATATTTTCTTAGATTTAAAATAGATAATTTTAACTGTATTTATAGTAATCTCAAAGTGATAAATTTGAGCTTTGAAAACAATGCAAACAATTAAAAATTATATCCATATTACACAAGACCTCTGTCTGTATCTTAAGCTGAAAAATTAGAGGAAACTATAGAAAACCACATGTAGAACAAAAATCACATTGTACATTATATAATAAAGGCAAATTTTTAGCAATTTTAAAAAAACCTGCAGCAGTGAGTGAGATGTCAAAGTAAGTTACATCTAGCCATAAATTAATCAGTTTGGTTTTAATTTTTTTCTTCTAGCAAGAGTTTAAGGATGTGTTGTACACGTGCATAAAATTCTTATTGGTTTTAAATTCCTAAAATCTTCTTCTATTATTGCCAAATACATTTATCATCAAGCAAGCAGTAGGCAACATATCACAATTTGGACACTGTAAGGGAACCTAACAGTATGGTAATACAGATAAAACTGGAAAATTAAAAAAAAAAAAGACAAATCTTATAGCATTGCCCAACTGAAATTACTTCCAAGCCACAGAGCTGCAAAAGCCTTCCAACTTGGTAAAGTGAAATAAGTAATGTCTCATACAATTATTTGTACTCTTTCATGCTTATATGTTAAGTTTTGTTGAACCATAATGTATCTTCAGAGTACAACTGTAATCCCATGCACCTCAGGTACATATATTGATCTGCTGAAAGAATCATTTTTTCCTTAGTTTTTAGGGCTAAAAGTTCAACAAAGATGGAGTCAGTATGCCTGAGGCTGGTAAACATACTGTAATACAGGCAATGCTAAGAGTGGCAATATCAGAAAACACAAAAATAAACTAGTGATGGAAAACTCTAATATCTTTTTGCCCATTTCACAAAATGTTCGAAATCCACCAGAATATTTCCCTTGTATTGAAGAAAACAGATTAAGTTTTCCCCCTTTTTTCAGAATCAAAAGCATTTTAGTAGATTTGTAAGGCTACCACGGATCTTCTAGATCTCCAGCACCCTACAGGAAAAGAAGAGGAAAAATATTAATATTCACCAATACAAATAACTACATCCACAACGAACTGGATTTTAACACCACAATAATGTGGAACATGAGCAAGCAAAGAATGAAAGGAATGGCCACATTTTCTACAGTAATTCACACATATGAAAAATTACTTTTTCCATATATTCCTCTGTGCCCAGAATTTCTGGAATTCATCTCTGGAAGCCATGCTGTTTTCTTACAGTGTGTATTAATGAAGTAAGAATAATGCACTACAATGAACAAAAATAAACCCAAACAAAATCGCCCCGTGTATTACTCCATCAACTAACTATTAAAAAAAAATTATAAACTGTGGAATGCTTAGAGAGATTTGGCAATCCAAATTAGCAAGAGGATAGCACAGGATTTTACTGAGATAGTGAAAAAAAAATTATATCCTGGTTGGACGATAAAAGCTATAATTTTGTGCAAGTGACTCAACAACCGCAACCAAAAATACAATAGAAACTGTGACAAAATATCTTCGTAATTGCTGACAATGGCATACTTTTTACAATGGCATTTCAGAAAACCACTACAGGAAGTTATATTCACAACAACATAGGAATACACTAATGTACTTGAATGTGTGTGCGCGTGCATGTGTGTACACATAACGAAGAGAAATATCAGAAAAAATATTAGGCAGAACATGACCTAATACACAACAGCCTGTTTACTTCAATTTTATCATGTTTAATTTAAAACTATGAAATATTCCTAGACTACAGATTAGAGTTACAATAAAAACTACCAGAATATTTATAGGAATAGCTAGTTTAATAAAGTCACAATACTTATTTGTCTGTTAACAGTAGCTACAAATATTTTCCAACACTTGTCAATATTTCAAATGAAATTCCAAAAATGTTTGAGACAGCATTATATCAACAAAATTACTTAAATAAAGTCCATGTGCATACAGATATTATTCCACATCATATTTTTATTTGGATTTAAAGAAATTTGAGAGTTTTACACTAAACACTAATTCTAAGCACACACTGTTGGATATACATTAAGCTACAATATATGGAATAATGAAGGATACAGTTTTCTAGAAAATAAGATTCACACTGAACAGAGGATACAGTCTAAATTGAGAGAACCATACATTGAGGAAATAATTTTGGCACAATAAATCCTAACATATAAATGAATAATTACTTTTGTAAGTATTATAATATGAAGTTTATACAATTGAAACAAACATGCAATATGTACGATACTGTGCTGTGAAATAATTCAATTCAGCAATATGAACCAAAGGTGTATCTGGATTAAGATGCTAATTAATATATGTGAAGTATTAAAATTCAGCATTCATTAGGAATGCATTTACAAAGAAAAACTGTTTCGTTTCTGTCAAAAATTCCTATCACCGGTGTCTGAGTTTTAAAAAGTAAAACCTTAAAACTTCCAACAACCAGTAACGTGGATGCCCTGCTTCCTGCTACACATAATATAAAATATAATTATATTTTGCTTATTAATACAAACTATAGTAAATAGCAAATTTTAAATTACTCAAAAAGGATGACTTTTATAAAAAAAGTCTGCACATATAAATATAGGTACAAACCAACTTTCTAGAATTGATGCAAAATTGTGCTGATATATGAATACATTAGAACAACTATCAAGCTATCAAATCAACTGTGTGAAACACAAAGACATTACACCTGTTTTTCACTCGTCTCATTTGTCCCTGAATCTTCATTAGAGCTCCGTATTTCAGCAAGATGATTCTCAGATTCTTTTTGGGTGTCTTCCACTGTGTCACTGGGTCCAGTATGATTATCAGAAGTAGATGCTGTAGCTATTTTAGCTAGCCTGTAACTAGTCAGCATCTCCTCCAGAAGATGGCGGTAGTTGCCCCTATGATTAATTCTCATTTGCCTGAGAGCTTCCACCAATTTCCCCTGTGTTCCACTTTCCTCTGGTTCGCCGGGGTCCTTTTTTTAAGATTCAAGACCCCAAAATCAGTACTTAAACTAGGATATTTTGGAATTATATGCCCCCTTATGTATATATAAAAACACCGTATGTTCTCACATTTATCCTAAAATGAAACTATTTGATCCGTGTTAATTTATTTTAGAATGTACATTTAGGAAAACACCTTGTATTTAAGTTGTCTCTATAATAGTTACAGTATTGACAAACACTTATAGCAACTTTATGTGAGGCACAAAGAACACTGTCAAAAAGATGACACTGAATAAATCTGCCGTTAGTTCAAACTGTGTTCTTTGTCCCACAACTGTCTGGCAAAAACTGACTTCACAGGAAACCGAAGAGTGAAGTAGTTAGCAATTTAAATTTACAGTAACCATTGACCCATCAAGTCAATATTTTAAAATGTTACCTACTATTGATTCAGTAGCAATATACGCTCCATGTGTACAGCTTAATTAAAAAATATTAACTGCCAACTAACTATGGATGCTGTAGTACCAGAATTCACCATGATAAGCAATGCAAAACAAAAATACTTTGATACTTGCAATCTAATTTTCTTCATATGCACATGCAACAGATAGAGGGTCAAATTATTGCTAATCAGCATCACAAAAAAGACTGTTTCATAAAAATGCTAATGATCTAGCAATATTTCTTCCCAAGCTGCTCTCAGGCAAATTAATATCCAGAATATCTAGCTAAAGCCAAATCCAACACCTTGAATGTAGGCACCCATCTTGAATACTGGACTAAGATATAGGAAGAAATCCTCCCTCCACCCAAGCTGCAGAAGTGTTGCACACTACTTCAACTCAAGGGGTAAAGGAAACCAAAATAACCCTCGTTAGTTCGGGGGGGGGGGGGGGGAAGAGACGTACTGCAAGAATTTGGCAAGTGGTCACAGGCTGCATTTTTCTATTTTATTAATGGATGGGGTGCAGGGTTTCGGATAGAGTTTGAGTGCAGGATGGGATTCTGACTTGCGGCAGGGATATGGGGGCAGGAGAAGATGCCAAGTGCAGGCTCTGGCCAGGAGACACCAAAAGAGGTGGCTCCCGAATGGCAGTACAGCCGTCCACTCAGGCAAGCAGACTGAGTGGCCCCACACCACTCCTGCCAGCTGCTGCTAGCGCATCTCTATGCAGCCCTTGGAGGAAGGGGAGTAGCAGGTCTTCACATGCTGACCATGCCTATAAACACCGCCCTCACAGTTTTATTGGCTGGTTTCCAGCCAATGGGAGCTGTGAGGATGGCGCTGAGGGTGTGGGCAGCATGTGGAAATCCACTGCTCTCTAACCCAATGGGAGCATAGACACATGCCAGCCAGCAACAGCCAACTATTGTGCTTCTGGGAGCAGCGTGGGTGACGCCTGAGCCTGCGTGTCCCGCAGCAAATTTTTCTCCATCCCCGGCCTGGACAATCATGGCAGACTGGAGGAAAATGTTTGGAGGGCTGGATATTTTGCTCACGCATGTGTTAGTATATAATTGTGAGTGCTTGTGCAGGGATAAAAAACTGCATAGGTCTGAGCTCAAAACTGGTTATTTTAAGCTTGGAATTAGTGTCAAAACAGTTCTATTGTTTTGAAGGACCAGAAGATATTTTAATTATTGATGCCTCACAAACTGTAATGATAGAAATAAAAGCTAGATATCACTGGAATCTCATGACACAGACTCTGAAGACAAATCATCCTGATTGACATTTATGCTTTCCCTCTGCCTGATTTCCTGATTTTAAAGGCCTCTATTCTAGAGCGCTTTCAGTGCTGAAGCCAACACTGTAAGCTACCTGAAAGCTTGAAATCCTAATCTTTCCAAGGCTAAATTCCAGGGGGTTCATGCAAATACTGGCTACTATCTTTTCTCTAACTTTCAATTCCAGTAATCAGAATAACTTTAAATTGTTGATGCCATTTTCTTTATTTTATAGTACATAAAATGTTAATAACTGATACTCCATTGAGGTTCACTGTTCTGTGAAATTTAACACACTGAGTATCAAGTGGTTGGTGCTGACAGTTCACAATTCTACATTCAAGGGAAGCTGCAATGGTTCAAGCCATCGCTACAATAAAGGACTATGGAAAAATAGCTATACTGCAACAGCTGTGTTAGCATCACCGCCTAGTATAAATGCAGTGTACAGTGATGGAAGAGGTTTGTTCATTATTGTAGGAATATCACCTACCTAACCGATAAGCCAGGCTGGCAGGAGCATTCCTCAACCAATCGAACTACATCTATACCAGGCACATGTAGAGCACTCGTGTGTGAATGTCATACCCCAGAATGCTGCTGGTACATAAATTTAGTGTAGACTCAGCCACAATTAAACACATTGACTTGAGTAAAAGGACAAATATGGTATTTTCAGCTTTTAAATTAAGCCATCATAACTCTTCTCAAGAGTGAAATCAGTAATTGTTTAGCAACATAATCAGATTCATACAACTTCTTAGAATTAATCAGGACTGGGATGGCTAGTGTTAGTTACATAATTCCTTAATTATTCAACTGTTGAAAGCACTTTACATATAACAACTATCATAGAGGAGATGATTATTATTTTTAAGGTTTGTAGAATTTCAAAATATTACATATTCTCTCCCTGCTCATTCCATATATGGAATTTTTTTAAATACACACACACACAGCTAATTGATATTAGAGGAGACACAAACACGCATACTTAAAAATGGTGGATTTCATGACTTGTCAGGCTGGGAAAGTTTTTGGCAGACCAATACGAATACTCTGAGGATCAATAAATGCTTCTAAGCATTGTTCCTGCTACAGTGAGCATAAAAACAAATAGCTAAATCAGTATTTGAGTGTGTTTTATGTTAAGCAGCAAAAAAAAAAAAAAAAAGGCAATCATGGTTAAAAAGGCAATCATGGTGAATGTATGTTAGCTTCCTTTTCATAGGAGCTTTATTACTGGAACAGCATAATACAGTTGTAAATCTGTGCAGATTATATAGCATATTTTTCCAGATATGAAAACT